ATATAATTAAGATAGAATTTATATTAAAAATCATTTCTATAAATATTATACTATTGAATTTATTTATTTTTGTCAAGTCAAGTTAGATGCAGGTTATACATTTATATAAATATATATATATATATATATGTTGGGTTAGGGTAAATGATAATCTCATAATTACAATAGCTTTTATGCAATGATGATCTCATAATTACAATCTTATTGTAATTTTTTTGTAAAGCTTTATTTATATTTTGAGAACTTTATTATATAATCATCAATAATGAAATAAATGTAAATAAACTCAATGATAAATAAAACAAGACCTTTATGGGATATTAAATATCAAAGTATAACAAATATGACAATGTCTTAGCTAAAAATTATTCGGCTTGAGGGGTAAATACCAATAACTATAGCAATCAAACATAACTCAACTTATAGGTTGCTGAAAATGGGAAATTGCTACACCTAAACCCCTTGCAAAATGAGTTAAATTAATTATGGCCCACAAACAGGTGGTTTTAGTAAGGAAAAGGGTAGTGGACCATTGGTTGACAACAATAAAGTCTAATGAAGACATTCTATACAACCTATCATTTAAGTATCTAGTCGTAAGTGTAGCAGCTCTTAGAGAGGTCACCATATCTTCATTTGTAGGCTTAATAAATGCTAGTATTGACTACCACAGATGGAGTTACAATAGTCGAAGAAGTGGATGCAAGAAGGGTAAAACTAGTAGTATAAGTTAGGATTGTTAAAGAAGGTGTAATTGGAGATGAAGTTCGCACAATTGAAGCAAGAGGTAGCATATTTTTAATATCATAATTTGAGGCACCGCAAATGTCTAAGTGATTGCTATAAGTTAAGCCTAATTGGTAGGTACCACAGCACTAATATTCTAAATCTTCTCACAACTTGCCTCTGGGCAAGAGAGAGACTAACTCGTAGATACCTTTTCCCCATTTGCTTTTTCTATTGTAAAACTTTTTGGAGTTTGGTAGCATGATCCATTTTTGCAAAAACAAACATAAATATTAGAATTAGTTAAGCATAATTATGACTAAACAAGGCATAATAGAATTACCCTCGTTTATGACTCCAACATTTGACATACTAAAAGCCAATTCCAGAAACCTACCCACGCTTGACAACCTTTCACTACCTTAATCCCCTTCAACATCTTTTGTACCAACAACAACAACTATAGTTGGCCTCTTTTCAGCTTACTATATACCATTAGCTTGAGTACCCCTTTAGTGAGCCACAAGCTTCTTAGCCTTAACCATTACCATTTTCATTGTAATAATAGACACAATAACATCATATCACTAGTAATCTTTAGCAAAATAGTTCAATACACATAAAATCGCCAATAACGAATTTTTTTTCCTTTAGGCTTAGAGGTTGCTACTCTCAATTCCTTTTTTTGACCTCTAGCCTACTCTTCCATTTGATTTAGCACCTCATGTATTGTAGTAGCCAAGTTTTGGTTTTCGTCAGGAATAAGGAAGTAGTCATGGATATACTTACAGGTGGCTAATTTTAGATAAGACAACTTCTTATCCTTCAAAACATTCATTTGCTTAAACTCATTTTCCTCAAGCTCTGTATTTTTTTCACTAGCGTACTCGTGTAAGACCATTTGATCTTAAATGAAATCGCATATAGGCATTTTAATGCTAGTCACCATAAATCTTTCATTTAATAAATGGTTGTTAGATGGTAATTCCACTATACATGACCTTTCATCAGCTTACAAGTAATGTAGCAACTCATTAATCTTCCGTAGCATGAACAACATTAGAATCACATTGATTAAGTGAACTCATTTTTTTAGGTGACAATAAATGAAGTAAGTCACCATGATCATTCAAGTGTTCGATGCTATCTACGAAGCTGCTAGTTAAATATGGCCATCACCAAATGGAAAAATGGATATAGTGCCAAGTGAACCTATGGTGAAAGTTATGTAGATAGAACTTTGCCATCTAGTCATTTACCCAACTTGGTTGATGGTGAATCTTTCATAAAAAAGGATAAAAAATATCAAGTTACCTAGGTTGAAAGCCATACGGTCTAAGATAGTGGCAAGTGGAACTTGTGGCGAAAGTTATGTGATAAAACCTTACCATCTCTTCATTTGCCCTAACCTAACTGATGGTGAATCCTTTAGAAGCCAAATAGATAGAAAACATCGAGTTACCTAGGTTGAAAGCCATACAGTCTAAGACCTACTTTGCCATGGCTAGTGTTGTTACGGATTGGTACACATTTGGTGGCCACGTCTATAGTGCTAAATCTTTGGGCTTCTTACCACCATTTCTTTCCCTTTTTCTTTCCCCTTACCTTTACTACTACTAAAAGCACTTACCTTAAAACCAAGAGCCCTTACTTCTCTAATCACAATATCGTAATCATGACCACCACTACTCTAAGATGCTTAGCTACCATGGCCTTTTCCCTGGCCATTCTCTCCTTTACCCTAACTCTCAATGTTCTTGACTTGTACTTTGGCACCTTTATCATCACTGGAATCCTCAATCACTATTCTATTTTTTGTTGCCATTTTCCTAGTAATAATTGAATAAACACAAATGACAACCTAAAGATTACTTACCCACAAAACTCTTTGAAAGTGAAGTAAATGGTGACAACAACCATAAATAGTAGAAAACCCAGATAACAAAACCTTTCTTTTACTTAAAATTTGTAAAGTAAGTTCATAAATTTTCTATCACCCTTATTTATACTCACCAAAACACTGCGTTGAAAAGGCACAAATAAAAATGCCATTTTAGCTAATTACAAAATGATATAAATTAATTACTAATTAGGACTGATTCTTCTATTACACCATTTTTAAAAAAAAGACACATTTTATTCTCCTCTTCGTTGATTTGATACAAATTCAAACTTAACTAATTAATTGTGATTGACAACTCTTCAACCCTATTATATCATGTGTCCTATGCAGTCGCATATGTTAAAAACATTGACATATGCTCAACAATAAGCATAAAAATGCACTTTATTCACACGCGTTACATATACTACATATTATTTGGCACAAAAATTTTTTCTAAAATCTTTATCTATTGTTCCCTGTATCTCGACAAATTATATGACTCACCAAGATAGTGCCCCATCTTTAAAGGATCACATCATCACACACGCCTTGCCAAAGTAATGTCCTTCACCCCACTAACATACTAACACGTATGTCCTCAATGACTTTTGTTAAATGTTTCAAGGTGGTCACTTTATAACCTCCTTAGACTTGGGGGCAATTGTTGTATTTATTTACTTAGTCAACAAGATCAATTCCCATGATCGTCAAGTTAACACATGCCCGATCATCATGTGACCACAAATGAGGATTGACATTTAGACTTCTCGCTATAAAGTGGGCTCTTCCTTATTAAGAAAGGACTTGCCTAACTACCTTCACTAGCATTCCATCAAGGTATCACTTTATAATAGATTGATTGGCCTTTAATTTGCCTAGGATCATTAAATGTAGCTCATGCTTGCCTGGGATAATTAAATATAATCTACAATCACTCACACGACCTCTTTTTGAGTTTTACATATATTTACCATCAACTGTCAACTATCCTAGTTATGTCACCATCGTTCTTCTTATATATAAAGTAAAAACGGGAATCAGGTATAGTAAAAATTAAGAATCCTTCCTTTTTAAACTTTATAAGCACTTATAGTATACCTTTTTCCTCACCTAAACCTTAGACATTTGGTTGATTTAAGTGTCGGAGTGCACGTTAAGGAACCAATTTTAGTATCCCTTGATCGTGCTTTCTTGTTACAGGTCCTAACTGTCCTTCATATGATCACCAAGCTACTTCCCTTCCTACCAACTCTAAAAATACCATTAACGTACTCAAAATATTAATTAATTAATTAGTTTAAATTTGCTTTAATATTGATTTGTTTATCTATATCCTATAGATAAAAACTATCCCTAAAGCATAGTATAGTGACATGTGGTAAGTCCATTGCTTGCCATGTGTTATTTTTTTATTGTTTTTAAACTATCCCTAAAGCATAGTAAAGTGACATATGGCAAGTCCATTGCTTGCCATATTTTTTTTATTGTTTTAATTTTTTTTCAAATATTTTTAACGATTAATATGTTAACATGCAATGAATCTTTTGCTTACCATGGAAAATTAAAAAAAAAATTTTTTTTGTTTAATTATAATTATAATACAAAAATATAATAAAAGTTGAGTATAAGGATAATGATGTATTGTTGGCAATTATAATGCCCTCAAATATTTTTGTAAAGAAAAAGAAGCACTTAGATAATAAAAAAAATCCATAAAAATATATTTAACTTGTCAAAAAAAAAATCAACTTTCAAAATCTTAAAACTAATCAACATATTAAATTTGAATCATTTATTAAGACAAAAAAAAACTAAAAATAATCAATTGAAAAAATAACCTGCATGAAAATCAACTAAAAAATCTCACAAAAAATAATAAACATTCTTTAAAAATTATCAGATCTAAAATTTAAATATTTTTTTAAAAAATATCTATTAAAAACAAAAAATATACAATTAAAAAACTAAAAATATTAGATTTGAGATATTTTAGCAAATTACAAAAAATAACAACAACCAATCAACACAAACAACCATATAAAAAACTCTAAATATAAGATTTTCAAAATTTTAATCTAAAAAATTTAAAAACCAAAATTTATAAATTATTTTTTATAAAAATTAAAAAATCCCTACGCAAGGGTAACATTCTAATTACTTATAAATAGGATCTTATTTGTTCATGAATGTATTTTTTAATTTATTAATGAATATATTTATTTAATATTCACAAATAAAATCATTTAATTAAAAATATTGAGTTAGGACATAACAAATTTTAAAGTCAAGCTGCAACAAAAAAGGCAAAAAAATTCTTTAACGACGTGAGCTAGGCAACTTTAAAAATGAATGAATAGGGCCCAAACAAACGGGCTCCTTTTGCCTTGTTTCACCTTAGGGTAGTGGCAGGTTTCAGTGAGTTCTTTTTTACCCAGTTCATTTTACAAATGTGATGATGTGGAATAGGTTTTAAAGTTGAGTACTTAAAGCCTCGTGTGGTGGTGTTTGGTTGAGAGAGAGAGAGAGAGACGCCGTTACCGCCATGCCTACTGCTAGCGTTGGAAGGGATCATTTTTTTGCTGCCCTTGGCAGATCTTACAGTGGGTTTCTAATTAAAAAACCTTTTTTTGTTTTTTATTTAATAAACTATTTTGGAATTTTTATGAATCTAACCAAAATAATACATTTTTCAGCTCAGGAAGAGTTTGAAGATCTGTGTTTCAGTTTTGGGGTTGAACTTGACGATGTGGTGATTTTTTTTTCTACACTTTGTCTTTGGGAAAACAATGGATATGTGTGAATTTTGATAGGATATTGTTATTGTGAACTAGACAATGGACAAAGCAATAATTTTGAAAGAGAAGCACTTTGAGGAGGAAAAATCTAGTCTTAATGATGAAGTCATTTACTAGATTTACAAGATTGAAGTTTCTACTAACAGGTTTCCATTGCTTATCTGTGACTTCAGAATTTTCTTTTGACAGAATTCAACAGTGTAGTATTGCTAGGAAAAAAAACTTTTATCCCGTTTCGACAGAAAAAAACTGAGTTATACCCTTATTGACTGTTGCTAATGTGTTTATTTTAATCTTCTTAAAGCCATAGGTGCAGTAACTATTAGATTTTCGTAAAAAGAGCTTCAAGTTGGGGTTCATCTACTACTGTTAACCTGAAATTGGAGAGAATTACTTGGAGGAAAAGAGCATGCTTCAATTTTTTTTTTTTGCCTTGAAACTTGATAATTCATGTAAATGAGAAAAAAAAATACTGGTGAAGGTTTTGTTTGATTCCTAGCCAGGCATGATTTGCTTTGCTTGGAAGGGTTTGCACCCAGATATACAGTTGCCAACATTCGTAAGGAATCAATGCTTAAAATGCATGTGAAAAAAGAGGTACCTTTGAAGGTTGAAAAATCAATTTTGGGTATGGCTATTGTTTTGGGTGTTATTGAATACTGATAATAACATCATACCTTTCCCTTTACATGCAGACATCTCTAATCCACCCCTTTGTTGTTTGTGTGGTTTTGAGGGGCATAACTTTTGATGAAGCAAGCTATAACAGCTTCATTGATCTGCAGGATAAGTTGTACCAAAATATCTACAGGTGATATTATCTAACCAGCAGCTTCGCGTACTATTATCCTTATAGCCTTTCTTTTTTTCTTTTTTTTTTTTCGGTTTCCTACTTTTGATTGGCTTTGAACCTGCAAAATAAATTCATGAACTATAAAAAAAAAAATCAATGATTGCTTTTGATCTCTGATTGTGAAGGGGAATATTTAAATGTGTTCATCTAAGTCTAGAATAGCTGCAGTTTTGTTTAGGTGCTTAATGTGGGTGGTATGTGGCTTATAACACTTTAAATTGGACCTTTTGTTGGGATTGACAAGGTTGGGAGGAAAAGAACAAAAAAAAAAAGAAGAATAATTGTGTACAATTTTGGTATAATGCAAGATGCATCCAATTTTTTCTTCATGTTATAGAAATTTAAGTAAGCCTCTATGTAGAAAAATTCTTCTTGCAAGAATCAATAAAACTTACATGGCTAGTTATTTTTGGTCCAGTGATGGCTGCATTCAGCTGTTGAAATGGGTGTCTTCAGAAATGTGCATCCATTTAGAATAGTTTTGGCACAAAAATTGATTTCACCCTGCACTTGGAGGGTTAGATTCCTGCTCCTGATATTTACAGGAATTTAAAGCAAATTTGATGATCGCATTACTCTTGAAATGTGTTTGGTGAAAATGAAAATGACTTCTGTGTTTAATCACAATAATTCAAATTATATGTTTTGAAAACAAATTACATTGCTGAAAATGAAACTTCCAACAACGAGGAAATGATTGCTAAATATATATTTTACCATCTTAACTTGTTTTCAATGACCTTAATTTATATACTGTTTGGATTTTTTCTTCCATTTCAACTTCTTGAGTGGTAATGTTTGGAAACTTTCTAAAGCATCAAACTATTATTGTACAAAGATTTCATGCATTTTTTTTAAAGTTGTATTGCTTACATTCACTTTGTTGTTTTAGGAAAAGAACCCTAGTTGCTATTGGGACTCATGACTTGGACACATTAGAAGGGCTTTTTACATATGAGGTTGGCTGCCTAATAATCTAATACATATTTTATCGATTAAAAGCTTTTGTGGTAATTTTTTTATGCTTTATTACAATGGTAGGTATACAAATTTCCAAAGATGCTTTAGATCCTCTGTTGTAGGTTTCTTTGATGGGAAAAGGGTGGCTGCAGCCCAAGGCTGAAATCTTGTGCCTATTGATGATTTGGTCAAATAGCAGCTTTTGCAATTGACATGAGATTTTTTCATTTAGTTATTATTTTCCTGGGCCTGGCATTGGTTTACTTGTTATTTATTATTTTATCTATTTTACATTAACCAATTTCTGAATTGTCAAGTTGGTTTTGAGTGACGGTAGTAATTGCTTTTTCTCTAGTTTGTCAATTGACAGGGTAATTGTCACAATTCATATAGTTTGCCCAAACTTCTTAATTGTTGCACCCATTTAAAACTTGTTTTGCTCTTTTTATGATCCAGTAATTTACTTTTGACATAATTGTTTAGCCTTGTCAACTTCTCACCCCATTTATAACATGTAAACAATACTTAAATTTGTCTATTTATTTCAGGCATTGCCACCTCTAGAGATAAATTTTGTGCCACTAAAACAGGTAATTTATCATATATGGGAATAATAGTATTTTCAATATACATATTAACTAAAAAAACTACTTCTACCTTGCTAGTGTGAGTTCCATTTGATCTAGCCATGAGGAACTTAGCTTATATTTGAGAGAGAAAATGATTAGTTTTATTTTTTGTTAACCTTGTACCATCTTCAATTAGAAATTTAGTACTAATTGCTCAATTTGATCTTGCTTCTATTACTATATTTGAAACAAAAATTATATTTTTACATTAAATTTTTTGTTTACATAAATTTATATTCCATCTGTTGTTTGAGACAATAGAATTCTCTATTGACAATTTGCCTTGTTTGCAACCAAGACATAGTTTTCCTATGTAAATGTTACTCAACTAGGAGCTAGATTCTCTCTCCACCCTGTCTTTCTATTTACATGTTTATTCTTTTGCATTTATTGGTGCAATTTGAGATGGCATTATTCAGGTTGGGTCAAATTCAAATTTGAGTCACTTTAGTTCAATGAAAACTAGGGTGTCTTTGGTTCAGGTCATTTTTGTTTCGAGTCACTTTGGATCCAGGTCATCTTAGATCTCGAGTTATTTTGGATTTGTGTCTTTTGAGGTTCAAGTTGTTGACTTTTATAGTAAAAATTGGGTTGGGTTCAAGTGGGTCTTTTGGGTTGCCTCAAATTTTATGAACCTCAATTAAGTCCTTCAAAGTCACATTTCGCTAACTAGTGGTTGTTTCACCTCCAATATTGATATGATAAATATATATTAAAAAAATTAGATTCGATAATATAAAGACAAACAAAAGTAAATTAAAAGTCATTTCTTAATTTAGAATTGTTATATATTATGAAATTTACCACCTTGAAAAAAAAATCATTAAGCAATTTTTTATTGATGATTGACATTTAAATCTTTATTGCATTGATCGGTACCATTTAGTTTAAATAACTAAATTTATCATTAATTATTGAGACTTTTGACAAGGTCAAATCATAACTCCAAATTTAAAGGTGGTGTTACTTATTTTCTTGAATGCCAAAATTTTATTGAGAGGTCAAAAGGAAAAAATTGAATATAAATATAAATGATGTTTGCTATAAGGTAAATTTTAAAATTAACTTTATTTTAATTATTTTTCTAGTTTATGTATCACTTTTTGTTTTTAAAGTAATTATTTCTATTCGAATTATTTATTTTGCTATCTGGTAAGAAAGAAAAATAAAGAAGGAAAAATGGAAATGAAATGGGTTATATATGATGTATAATTGTAGAAATTGATTCTTATTATAATAATGGAAAGAATTTGTTATTTTACTCTTTTTTTTTAATCACAAGGGATCTTGTAATAAAGAAAAGATGTATAAAGGTAGAAATACAATTGTAAAGAAAGAGATTTTATAATTTTATTATCTTTTTAAGTTATTGTTAGACTAATAGTTTCTGTTATATTTATTTTTTAAGAGAAAAATAAAATTATACTCAACTTATATTTTGTTGTTCCTAGTTCAATTCAAGTTGGGTCGAAATGGGTTTGGGTTGATTTGCTTTAAGTCAATTTAGGTTTGTGTTTAGTAGGTTTTGTTATTGTTTGGTCGGGTTTGGGATTTGTAGATCTTTGGATTCAAGTTAGCTTTTAGCTCTAGGTGATGTAGAACCCTAATAAGTTAATTGAGGGATTAGCTTACTTAAGATTTAATTTTATTACTTTTGCTGTATTTATGAGACTTAATTACAATTTTATAGATCTAGGACTACATTTGGTATTTTACATTTAGGCTCTGTTCATTTTGTAAAAAATGACTTCTTGAAAATAATTTTCGCATTTTCAGTGTTTGTTTGGCAGAAAATTGGTCAGTCAATGAGAAATGAGTTATTGGTCAACGAAAAATAAGATCATTTTTTTTAAAATTGTTTTATAGATTTGAAAAAGAAATAATATTTTTAAAAAAAGAGCGATTTATGAGTAGAATGATTTATCAATATTTTTGAATATAATTTTACTTATAAATAATATTATATTAGTAAATAATATTATAATATATTAATAAATATTATATAATCTATTAATAAATAATATTATATTACTAAATAATATATTAATAAATATTATTAATAAATAACATTATATTAATAAATGATATTATAATATATTAATAAATAACATTATATTAATAAATGATATTATAATATATTAATAAATAATATAAAAATAATAAATAGTTTTATTTTAAGTATTTTTATATTAACATAATATTTTAATATTAAATATTATTATTACAATATAATTATTTTTGAATATTAATTTTAATATATTTTAATAATAAATAATTTTTAATATTTTAATAATTATATTAATATTATTTGAAAAAAATTTTCCAAAAACAATTAAATAATGGAAAACATTTTTTATTAACTCATTTAAAGAACATAAAATTTTTTTCAATTCATAAAATGTAAATATTTTCTAAAAATTATTTTTCAAAAATAAATTTTCACAAAATAAACGGAGCCTTATATTAGGGTTTAGTGTCTTTCTTTTTCTTATTTTATTAGGATATGTTTTTAAGATGTTTTTTTTATTAAAAATTTTCCTTTAAAGACATACATAGGATAAAAGTTTTAATTCTTTTAGGATTATATTAATATAATATTATTCATATAATATTTATTAATATAATATTATATGAATATAATATATGATTAATATAATATTTATTAATATATTTTATGAATATAATATATTATTATATTAATATAATATTTATGAATATATTAATTCATTAGTAATATATTATTAATATGATATTTGTTAATATATTATTATTTTCATACAATATTTATTATATTAATATAATATTATATTAAGATAATATATTAATAAATAATATTTATGAATATATTATTTATATGATATAGATATAATATATTATTTATAATATTTATTAATATAATATTAATATATTATGAATATAATATTTATTAATATATTGTTTATTTTATAATATATTATATATTTTATTAATAATATATTATATTAATATGTTATTATATTATATTGATAATATATTGAATATAATATATTATATTAATAATATGTTAATAAATATTATATTAAGAGAATATATTATTTATTAATATAATATTGATAAATAATATATTAAAAATAATATATTAATGAATAAATAATATTATATTAATAAATAATATATTATTAAATGTTATTATATTAATATTATTAATTACAAATGGAGTCTAAAAATTTTAACTACTTTCTCTTGCATATTTTTGTTTTTGTATTTCTAAAACAAAAATATTTTATCCAAACATGTTTTCAAATTCAATAAATTGAAAATAAAATGAAAATAAAACAAAATAAAAATTTCAAAAACATAAAATATAAAATATATAACAATAACAAAAAACCCCTAAGGAAAGCAAAAAGACTAATGGATGAAGAAATTGAGTATCTCTTCACTTTACGACTTTACCATCTACTCTATTCTTCATCTTCAACAAATCAACAGTTTTCACTTTACGGCTTTACCATCTCCTCCATCCTTCATCTTCTTCAACCTTCAATAAATTAATAGGTGATGCTTGAATCTAGATATGAAATTCATCTCCTTTTTGGTTTTATACTTTAATTAATTGTGGATGGGTACTTTTCCTCCTTTGATTCATTTCTTTATGGGCTTTACAATTCTCAGTTTTTAGAAAAAAATTTAAGCAAAAAACCTTGCATCCTTTGTCTTCGTTGTGCCTTTGCCTGTGTCGAAGTGTGTTAAGACATTGTCTTTTTTTTTTTTTTTGTTTGGAGTCTCGCTGGGTGTTTGGCGGCTAGTGCCATTTGCCCCATGTTCGTGCTTTCTTAGTACATTGTTATTTATATCGGCTACTAGCCTACTACCAACCTTAATCCTAGAAGAACTAGAACTCCTATCGTATTTAAGACTTTAAGGCTATGTTTGACACGCAAGATTAATTGAAGGATAATATACTAATTATCATGTCATATGTTTATTATGCACTTAAATAAAAGGATTGGATTATTGAAAAGATTAAATATTCTATGCCAATAGGATAACTCTATCATTTGAAAAAGTAGGGGATTATTTTTAATCCATGGAATTAAATTTACATGTCCTATTATATCCTTAAAAATTATATCAATAGTTTAAATTATATAAATTTTGAGAATTTTGATCAATACATAAATTATCTTATCTTAATCCTTACACACATCAAATATAAGATATGATGACATTATTTAATCTAATCATATTCATAATATCATCTTGTCCTAGCTTATTATAATCTTATATATCAAACATAACCTCAAGGAAAACTTTTAATAGAAGACTAATAAACTTGACTAAAAAAAAGCTTAATAGAATAAGAAAAACAAGCTAAGATACTAAACTCTAAAAGTATGCGTAAAAACCAAACATAAGCCTAGATCTATAAAATTACAATTAAACTCCATAAATACAACAAGAGTAATAAAATAAAATCTTAACTAAGCTAACCCCTCAATTAGCTTACTAGGGTTTTGCATCACTAGGTTTATCTAAGTTGGTGATAATCTCTATAATCATTTAATTTTATTTAAAACAATGAAATTGATGGAAAATTTAGTAGAAATCATAATGACATATTCTATTTTTATGCTAGTAGCATTTTTGGGTCACTTGTTTTCAGTTGTGTGTTACTATTTTAGGACATTCCTAATGAAGTATTGCAAGTTGAATCTTAATTGGTTTTTTTAATTGTTTAGTCTTTTTTTTTCTTTCTATGTAAATTTAAAGCAATCCAAAAATAGTCATTGTATGTAATATTAAAGCTAATTTAATGCTCATTAAGTGCTGTTTGTGTTTGGCTTTGTGTTTTCATTGCATTAGTTGATTTGTTCATTTATTAGCTGAAATTTTTGTTTAATATGTGTGTAACTTAATTTACAGACTTAACCATTTTAAATTCTTCTTTATCTTTTTTTTTTTTTTAATTTCTTAGTAGAAGGTTAATTGCCAAGTTATGCTATTAGCAACTGGAATCCTGGTAGGGAAATGGCCTTGCTCTTTAACATTTTATTTTTTATGGACTTGAGCTTGTGCACTTGTCATTGTGCTTGTTACTTATTGGGAACAGACTTTGATTGTTGCAACAACTAATTATATCCCTTTTAGTTTTTCAGGTATAGTTTGAATATAGGAACTGATTTTTGGAAATTGTCTAACTTTTTTAAGATCTCTTTGCGACATAAATGGATGTTCTAGGAAAGCTTCTTAAGGTAACAATTTTTCATGTGAACTACATTTTTTTTAATTATTTTAGGTTGCCAGAGATTGAATATTGGTCATTGGAACTAACAGTCCAAGCACTTTACCAACAGACCACATGATTGTTGGTGAACTACCTTAGTTTCGGAGATTGCAATTAGCCTGTACTTCTTTAGTATTCTTTGTTTATCATCAACTCCTTTATTCCTCTTCTTGTTAGCCATCTGTATACTTCTATTCATTTGAAAAACATTCCTTTGTCCTCTGGGCTGAAACTGATTTCAGGGAATTGATTTTTTCTTTTTCTTAATTTAGGTGAAGAACTTCAAAGCTGATGAGCTGATGGAATTTTACAAGGTAAATCTTTCATATGAGCTTATTTGTTGTGCTTACCTGTGAAATTGTGAAGTTACTTTATTAAGCAATTGTAGTTTGTTATTTCATTCTGTACTCCTTGCACTTGCTTCCTAGTTTTGGATAAGATTTGACAATTTTTATTGCAC